TGTCAACTAATCAAGTAGACACTGAGATATTTCACTTTACCTGCTGGTGGCATTAGATGCAAAGCAGTATCACATAAGTCTCTAGCAGTCGTCCTCTCAGGGTGTGTATGTCTGTTTACCTCGTGCAAATCTATCCAGCAGATGCAAAGGTATTTCAGTCTGGACCTACGTGGCGGGTGACCACACTGCTGCGTCACACAGAGACGACAGTTTGGGAAAAACAACTAGTTTTATTTTCATTTTTGCATTTCAAATAATCTGATATCAGATTTTACAGCATATAGAAATATATTTTAATACTGCACCACATGAAATCCAGCTCGTATATGCAAAGTCAAATGTCATCGTTATTTACATCATTGTTATTTACAGTCAGTGTGCATATTGTCATGTGTATCGACATCACTTACATCTTCACTGCTTTACAGACTCTACAGTTAAAACACATCGTCACAGACACACATACAGAAGATATTTACACATGGTCGCTTTGCAGGAATGTAGCAGGAGTACCGTGCAGTGTTGTCATGGTTTATACACCTGCGCCTCAAGTGCTCACGACAACCCATGCTAATGACACAAGCTGTGCTACCACACCGAGAGAACATGAGACTAAAGTGGAAGTCAAGATAAACTCTGTACCTCAGGTAGAGATCAAGCCTTACATTTGTCATGAGGGTTGAAGACAGTGGAAATGTACTACACACACACACACACACACAAAAAAAAGGCATAAAAATCAAAAGCTGGACCCTCAATAAATATAAAGAGGTGTCACAAAGAGAGACAGGTTCTGAATTACATGGAAACTGAGCATGAAAATTCATTCTTTACCAAAGAACCTGAAGTTTGGCCAAAATCATACGTCAAGGTCTCCATGAAAGCTGAAGCAAACTCCATTTGGATGATGATGACACGGCCGGGCACACACTGTACACACTGCAGTGACTGAGAACTGGCTGAAAATCGGGGCTGCATCCCTTTAACACCAGGGCCACACTGCCTGCGTGAGCAAGTGTGCATTGAAAAACCTCTTGCTTTTTATTTTGTCACCCAGGGCAACAGGTTAGAACAGCCACAGGGCACACATCAACAGGTGCATAGCCGCGGCGTCACTGCCACTCATCTACAGATCCAGAGTTTTGCCTATTTTGTTTCTGTGACGCATGCTGTTTGGAGCAAAAACAGACAATGAAAATGATGTGTTGCGGGCAACACTGACATCACACCAGCAACATTTCACTACAGTTTGAATGTCTACATCTGTACATTATCTCACAGATATATATGATTAATTTTAACTCAACACTTCCTGTTTGTGTTTCAAATCTGAAGCCCTTTGGCGTTTCTGTGGACACAACCTCTTCAGCTCCTTTATTGTAAAACACTGATGGCAATTATCAAACGGAGACTCAGTACAGAATTATATAGTTGGCAGGCAGCAGTGCTGCAGCAGTAACACTATCTATATGAACACTGTCAGCTAGGTAGCCATCACGCACAGAAAGAGGTAGGCAGTGTGGCCCGGGCGTAAGATTTAAGTCCTTGTTTCTTCATTGACACCCGTGGTTATCTTGCTAACAAGAAGTGCGGTTCATTACTGTAGCAAACATTTGTTCAGCCAACCTGGTCTCACTCCGAAGTCATCGAAATCTGGCACTTGGTCACTGACTTCTGATGAAAAAAGCCATAGTTTAACGTTGGCGTGATACACAGCTGGTCGCAGTTATAGTTTAACGGTGGCGTCAGGGGGGAAACACAACGGGACAAGGATGAAAGTTAAGGCAGCCAAAGTCAGAGTAGGGCAGACAGGAGGGGTGGTGGATGGGTCCGACAAACACTGATTTCACGTCCCGTAAGATTGTAAAGCCAAACTCTGTTATTTTTCCTAAACCTACCGTTGACACGGCGTCCCAGAACGTCAACAACCAACACACCCAGGGTACCTTGGACGTCATATGTGGACGTGGAAAGTCCATGACCAAACGTGGACATGTGACGAGGTCGCAGTGAGGATGATGATGGTTGAGCAGCTACTTTGTCAAAAATAAAATAGAAAAGCTGCTGGTGTGTCTGTTTACAGTGCAGCCAAACAAACCCATGTTGTTTTAATAAAGACTTTGGTCACTCGATAAAAGCCACCCCATGTTTCCTGATAGTAACCTAAAGCTGACAGTCCCAAACTAATGTCTTGCTTTTGTTTTAAATGGGAAAGGTTACAATTGGCATTCATTCCCAGGACAGGTGACTCTGCAGTAGTCCATTGCAATGATGCAGGATCACAAAATACTGTCCGTCTCCATCCACGTAGTGTTTGGGAGCACTTCAAAAGTAGGCAGAAACCAAGTTTGACGTAGAGGCTCAATGAGTAACAGACGAAAAGGAACCTTTACTGTTTACTAACCTGTTTTTCAGGGGATATGTGACGCTGAAAGTGACCAGTTAGAGAACAGAAAGCATGCTCGTCTGCTGCATGGTAGCTACACAATCCACTGGCTGTGGGAAAGGAGTTTACTGCCTATTTTTAGCATGTTTCAAAAAACTCACATGTAAAGAGGGAATGAGAAACCAAAAGCCCCATGTTGCTATCCCTGTTATTCTCTCGACAGACAAGCACATGCTGCAATTTTGCTTTCAGTATGAAAAAGCCTTTCATTGAAACAGTTTCTTCCTGTTTGTCTACAAAATCCCCACAAAAAGCTATATTTGGAAGTGAGACCAAAAAAAGCAGAAGAGTGAACACAAAGGGAAGTGAAATGCTGCGGCGGATAATACGGGGGAAATCTGATACCAGTCTGTCGGTTTTATTTGCAAGACCAGAAACTCTGTGTTTGTTTATAGCTGTGGAGGAAATGTGTGAGCTATTGTTACAAACTGAACTTGAGGCAGTGTGATGGCCTCCGTCATTAACCAACCCTGGGGGAGTTTCATCTGACACTTTTAGCAAGAGAGCAAGTCAGACGAGATAAACAGCAATCTGTGTCATGTGCAGTGTTAGTCCAAACTCTGGTGCTGCTCGTATTTGAATTTCTGTTGGATTTACTGCTTACTTTTCCTTTTTTTCTAAACATGCTTCTGTCAGGCCAGATGTGATTAACCATCCTGTTCTCATTGTGCAGTCATCAAATACCGCAGCTTGGTCGCTGATGTCTACGTCAGACACTCAGGTTCCTACACATTTGGAATTTCAAAATTCCATACTTTTCCATACCCTAATTTCCAGACTTCTCTGCATTTTTCAGAGAATATGCGACATCTGAGTAAATATATCAGTGTATCATATTTCACATCATATTTAATTATTCTTACTAGGCGATTGTAGCCAAGTACCATAATGGCATGCAAATAAAAACTCAGGTAAGTTCAGTGTCTGGGCTGAGGCAAAAAGGTTGGGACTCTGGGTGCAAGCGATGCAGTAACGAGACGTCTGTGTTTTTCCTTTCATGTGGCTCAGAATCGTTTCTCCCCCATGTTGGCGACGTCAAACGATTTCACACAAAGCTTGCATCTAGCTCTGCGTGTGAATTGGGAATCCTTGGCCAACCAGTATTTATATACGGTATTGTCAAGCCATCCATCCAAAAACTTGCATCTACCCACTGTGAACCACGTGAAACTCGTCTTCTTGTCGAAGGTGCGGTGTTGGAGTGGAACCTGATACCTGGGGGGCTGGAGGAGGGTCATGGGGCAGCGACTGGACATACCACTTGTCAATCAGGTAAAAGGGGCGGTATGTTTTCTGAGACGTTTGCTCTCACACAAACTGTGCTTGGCCCGGCATAAAACACGATCCGGATTGATTAAATTATTTTTGGAAATACCTAATTTTCTATCGTAGAAAACAGTATTTTAGAAGTGGTAATAGTCTGGAAACATAAATATTTTTCCATACTTTATTTTTCATTTTCCATACTTTTTAATACCTGGAAATTGATCAAATTTATTTCCATACTTTTCCATACTTTCCATACTTGCGTAGGAACCTTGGACACTGTCGAAACACAGGCATCCTCTTGTGGTGGTATGTTGCGTTGTTGGGCCGTGTCAGTTAATAACACCACCGCACAGTGTCAGTTTGAAACGTCGCTGGACGACAATGAGGTTCTGGAAAGTCCCTAAAGGGCAGGTGGGAGCGGTGGTGGTTGGGTCCAACAACGCCAGATTTTCACCCAGGAGGCCAGTGTTCGCTTCCTGTATCAATGTACAGCCAAAACATGATGTTTCGTTCTAAACCTAACTACAGTCTTCCACAGAAGTTAATTTGAAAAAGTCTGTGCACATCCCACAGGCAGAAACTGTACATTTCCTGTGAAAACAGAAGTGTATTTTGAAAACAGACAATGCATGTAACAAGCTGAAGTTGACACGGCGTCCCAGAACGTCAACAACCAACACACCCAGGGTACCTTGGACGCCATATGTGGACATGAAAGTCTACTGACCAAGCGGCAACATGTGACGAGGTCACAGTGAGAATGTGTTGGATTAATGCAACACATTCTCACTCCGACCTCGTCACGTATTGGCGTTAGGTCATGGACACAGATGCACGGACTGAGTACATCAGTGGCTGGAAAATACATGATCACTGATCATAAAGTCGAAAAACAGAAACCTACGAACTGTTTTTGTCCTTTCACAGTGATCCAGGCTTTTGATGCACATGGTGATTTGTCAAAACTGAGGTCAGACATCTTCATCATCCCGACAGCAGCGCGAGACACAAGAGGATCCTGACTGCGACATCCGGTCAAGGGCTTTCAAAATATAATAACCTCGGCAGTCAACTCATCCTCACTGTGACCTCGTCACATGTCCACGTTTGGTCATGGACTTTCCACGTCCACATATGTCGTCCAAGGTTCCCTGGGTGTGTTGGTTGTTGACGTTCTGGGACGCCGTGTCAACTTCAGCCTGTTACATGCATTGTCTGTTTTCAAAATACTGTACAGTTTGCATACAGTCTCTTTCAAAATAAAAGCACTATGTTGGTACAACACTAATTGACTTTTTTCCCTTCAACAACACACACTTGGTTGGGTTTAGGACAAAAGAACAGGGTTTGGCTTTACAATATTATGGAAAATGTACACTGACCTCTCGAGTGAAAGACGGAGGTTGTTGGTTCAATCTAGCACCCGTCCCACCCGCTCTACTCTGACCTCCTCTGCCTAAACTTTCCGTGTTGTCCAGCGTCTTTTCCCCTTGATGCCGCCCACTCAGCTCCACCAGACGTGTCTGTTTTCCTGGCTGTTCTCTTTTGTTACAGGATGCGAGTTAAGGCAGAGGGTCGTCGTTGACATCATGAACCACACCTGGGCCAGAGTGCTTCATGATATAAAGCTCACCACCTTCCAAAAGACTTCCCTCCTCCCTAACGGTGGAGCTGCTGTTCTTCTGCTTAGTCTACAGACATTTCAACACAACCATACATGCAGACATGTAAATAAATGAGCTTTTAACTCTTTGTTAACTCGTCTCGTCTCCCATCCCAGTTGCAGCCTAAGAGTCAGGCGGTAACAGGGCACTGTTAAACAGCAACAGAGACCGTTTCATGTCGATGTGAAAGGACAGCTTTTAACGTCTATGTCTGGAAGGACACTGGAAGTAGCTGACCAAGCGCTGTTATTCAACGACTTCGGAGTGAGACTATTTACGCTGATGATACTTGAATCTACATTTTGTTTTCACAGACTGACTGTGGTCTCCTTGAGTCATGTTGTCAGTGTGTTGAACAGATTCAGGACCAGCCGTGACAGAATGATCTCTTGCCAAAAAAAGACAAAACTGAGGTGACTGTTTGGCACCAAAAATAAAAGTCAGAAAGGTTTCGATGGTTCACAAAGTTTTAAAACTGTGGGTTGAGTCAGTGCTGTTTGTTTGTCAGAAGAAATAAAATAACTGAATCTGAGATGCACCGTGTGCCCTCTGTTTGATCCATATCTGTACAGAAAATGATTCAAACATACAATAAATTAAACACAAACTGAATATATATAGTCTTAGTATAAAATTCAGATTCAGCAACTTCAGATTCCACAGCTGCTGCCACAGATATCAGCTCAAACCAGTCTGTACTGCAACGTTTTCTTTGTTCCCTCAGCCGGAAACAAATCTCTCAAACATGCAGCAACATGCATCTAGCTACACTTATCCACGAGACATGAAAATGATTCAGCCCCTGGAGAACAACTTCAAAAAGCTTAAATATTACCAGGAAAATCTCCCTGAATTAGCTTCAGGTTTGACATTTAAGCCTCGTCAGCTGACAGCTGGTCCCTCGTATTTAATTTATCTGTCTCGTCCACAGAAAAACAGACGCAGCTGCAACTGCAGCCTCACGTTAAACACACGGAGGCGTCTGAGTCGATGCTTTAACCTCATGTTCGGCTCCTGAGCGTGGCAGGCACAACACTCGACACAGTAAATACCTGACATATGACAGCAGTGTCCTCAGCTTACTTTTCTTTTCAGCCCTGAAACAACAGGACCGGGTTAATCCACAGTGAGGGGTTTAGCATGAACACACAGCACTATGTACAATGACTCAGCAGTCTCTTTGAACAGAGACTAATAACAATGTAAAAACCACCATCAAACATTGAACAAGAGGAGCTAAAGTGACAAAACTTATCATGTTTCGGATACAACCAGTTACTTAGTTACAAAACTGACATCGTCATGAAGTCTGTCCTTCTGTCCGGCCTCTTAATACAGTACATAGCACTATCTAAACACATTAGGAGGCAACACTGTAAGGTACAGATATGATAAATGCTCTGTCATAAGCCCCATTGACCGTTAGCTACTGTTGCTCCGTCTGCCAGCCTTTCCATCCCAGCACTGCAGCTTCCACATTTACCATCCAAACAATACGACTTCATTTCACACATCAGTGACCTGAAGCAGTCGTCAGCTGACTCAATTTCAAATAAGACGCATGTTTAATGAAGGGGTCATAAATATGCTCTTGAGGGCTACACATATGATGTCAGGCTGTTCTCACAAATCTTTCCTATAAAAAGCGATGCACCTTAGTTTGTACATATCCTATGGACTTTACTATGGACTTTTCCCTGGAGTTGCCTGTTTGGATCCACATGAACTTTGAGTCATTTTAAGGTACGTCCTCACCATGTTTCTTTTTCTAATCCTTACCACAGTAACATAGCGTTAATTAGGTAGCTGAATGTTAAGGATGTAACGTCATTCGTGGGGCGCAAATTCCCAGGATATCATACCAACTGTTTGATGAGACTACGATGATGATACCGTGCTAACAGACCGTGGCTAAAGCGTGTTGCGTTCATGCCAAATGCGATGCAAATTTTGGCGTCCTGTTAGTCGTGGGAGTTTGAACGCTAGAATATTTTGTGTTGACTTGCCTCATACGTGCAAATGACTCGTGTCATATGTGTGTAAAATCACTGAGTCAATGACTGAACTTTGTCTGCTATGTCCTTGGCATCATGCGTCCCCAGAGGATCTCAATGCTGATTGGCCATTGCAGAGCAAATTGGTCGCTGACGTTGAGATTTTTTGAACTCTCACGAACAGGCGTATGATGTTAAATTGCGTTACTCGCGTCATTCGCGTTGCGTCCATTGTGCTGCCTAAGTGGGAATTTGCGTCTAATCACGTCTTTACATTGACTTTACATGTAATTGTAACACTCACTTTAAAGTTGTGTTGTTGTGTGTGTGACAACAGGGTGAAAAATTAAATTTCCTCTCAGGGATTAATTAATTATATCGTCTTTTTCTTCAAAATTAACAGTTGCTAAAAATGAGAGGCTGCTTTTGTCCTCTGAGATCTAGAGGTCAGGTCTTTTTGTTCCAGACATGAACATGTCGACCATGACTGTAAACTGTGCACTGTTACAATGGAAAGGCTGACGAGTTAGCAGCTGTAGCCGGGGGGGGGCTCGGCCAACTTTAGATGGCACATGATAAACTGGCAGATTAGATGATTAACATTAACAAGATGCATGTACATCTGTTTCCTCTGAGAGAAAAGAAAAATGACACAATGATCAGCTTGGAAACTGGGAATCCTCCGGCCTCTGCTGATTGGTGGAATGAGTTTGAAGTCAGCCCCTCTGACAGACTTTAGTACTGAATGTCATTACCGTCCTCGCCCCTCCGCCTCCTCACTTGTACAGCAGCTGCAGTCGGCTGGTGTGGCAGTTATTTCGGCTGATCTTGCTGTCTTGCTGCTGGTAGAGGCTGGATGAGTTGCCGAAGGACGTGGGGACGGGGTGGAGGTCGGAGATGGGGGCGGGGTACCCCGGAGGAGGGGCCAGGGACCTGGGGTCGCTCTGGGTAATGGCACGAGACGGGGAGCTGTGGTTCTGATTGGTGACGGTGGACGCTCTCCTTCTCGATCGCAGGGCCTGGCGCTCAGACAGCTGGTTTCTCAGCTCAGACACACGCTCTTCTTTCTGAGGGGACAAACGGTAACAACGACTCAACAATCTTCTCCGGGGACAAATCCTCTAATCCTCTAAGACTGTTTTCATGGTGGGCGTATGTTTTAATTTATCTGGGAGTTGTCTGGAAACACTGGAGAACGGGGATCATCACATACCGGGCTTGCTTCAGACTGATTCCCCAAACACAGCTCAAAGGGTCAGTTTAAACACATTACTAAAAACACTTGCTCACATTCATCTGGTGGACTTGGTCCCTGCCAACAGTTTTAATCTCATTTAACCAGGTTTTAAAATGTTTGGCAGGGAGATTTCTGCCTCCACACACACATCTGTTGGCGACCTTGGATGTGACAGTTTGACCAAAGAAGAAGTACCCCGTACAGCCCCACTTCAAAAGATCCAATCTATTACATACTGAAGCAATTTACCTGCTGAATATGAAGGAAAGTAAGAATTATAAAACCCTGTGACAAAGAGAAAAGGCTCGTCTGACCTCCTGGATGATCTTCTGTAGCTCCTTGTTCTCTCGCTCCAGCTGTCTGGACTTCTCCTCGTCGTTGTTGTTGGTGGACGAGCCGGTCTTCATGGTCTCCTGAGCATCTGACTGCCACTCGCCCCGTGTGATCAGACGCCGCATCTGCAAAGCAGATACATGTTGTCATGAAGGATCAGCTGTCACTGAAGGAGTTCACCAGGCCTCAGGTTTTTGGACTGAGCCTAATTTACTTTGACATATTTTGGTCTGTGACCTGATTATATGTAATTAATATGGTTATTTCTTCCTGGGCCCAGGTGTCTGTTGAGGAATATTCGGGGTCTAGGATTGTACGTCCTGATATTAACCATGCTTGTGCCGTCACATTGACCCTTCACTCATTGTTTTAGTCTGATCTTCATGTTCAGGGACGGTGGTACTGTTTGTATTTGATTTTGAAATAATCTTTTTATACTATATAATTTTTCAGATTTTCTTATTGTCTAATTGTATATTTAGAGAGCATGAATCTATCTTTAAATGTTGAGTATACTTTGTGATTCTTCGGGTCAACCCAGCTAATGACTAGCTCTACATGTTGAAGTTAAAACTGACTCCACAGATTATTTTTCATATAATAATGTGGCTCTTTCTGTGCTCATCACACTTGTAGTCGTGGGCAGTAGGGTTGCAACGGTTAGAGATTTTCATGGTACAATAAAACTGAAGGCTTATTGTTGGTTTAAGAAACATTTTATTACTATAATTGCTTGAACTTGAAACCATGTTGTTAATGGATGTTAAAAGTCTCCCCTTTGAAAGTAACTAAAATAAAGCTGAGATTCTCCGTCCAGTTGCACTGGCAAATGTATACGATATGATTACCGTCAACTTTTACATCATAGTACGAGTCACAAGTTTGAAGACTTTAAAGTCGACTCAACAAAATCAGAAAAGACTTGCAACTCAACTCGATACAGAGAGTATCCCTGGTGGGCATGATGTCTTTACCTGCCCTCAGCTTTCACTCCATTTTAGGGGAAAGGAGCAGAGCTTCGCTCACACAACAAGTAAACCACATCAGACAGAGATCATGTGGAGGATGCTTTCAGGCTGATGATTCCGTGAAGATATAATGGAGGTTGTCTGAGGACAGCAGGGGGAAACCCCACATTTCCCCTTCTTGGTTTGATTCAGTGTCTAACCTCTAAACAGTGAGAATCCTTTCATCAAAGAATGTTGGTCAAAAAATACCTTTTGTCAGGTTAGTCACATTCCTTCTGTGTAAATTTGAAGCAAGACGAAATTTTGATAACATTCTTAGAATTTCCCCTTAAAGATAAGACCTGATAAAGATATAAGTTATTCACAGAGCATCTCAGACCTTAAAAGAGCTCCTGCGGTGTAAAACTGTTAGGAGGGGGAGGAGGACTTTTAAGAGGTTTAAGAGTTTCTGAATCAGAGGAGAAAATGGTGGAAACAAAATGAGGTCAGAGAAATATTCAGTGAGTGAATGAAATGCTACAGTTTAGATTGCGCAGGGAGGATATTTGTGGTCGATGTCATTAGGGATACACACATTTCCCAACTAACGATACAACGCCAGAAATAAAATGATCACAACACTGAGATATTTGGAAAACTAGAAAAATGCAGCAGTGATTACTTGTGTCTGTCTCAACCTTCCATCAGCAGCAATCACATAAAAAATGACAAGAATTTCAGTCACATTCTCTGAACCGCATGCTGTTGGTCGTGGGGGTTCCACAGGGGTCTGTACTTGGCCCACTGCTATTTTCTCTCTACTTGGCACCCTTGGGTCAGATTTTACGTTCATTTGGGATCTCTTGTCATTGTTGTGCAGATGATTTACAGTTGTTTACGCCTATTATCCTTCAAAATGGGTCAGATATGACTAAACTTGAGACGTAGCTGCAGTTAGGGGATGGTGATCTAGAAATTTCCTGTTACTTAACTCGGCTAAGACAGAAATGATGATCATCAGTCCTGCAAAACTAAAGCATCCGTATGAGCATTTTACTTTGTCTCTGGATGATTTTGTGATTCATTGCAGTGACAGAGTTAAGATCTTGGTGTGCTTCTTGATCAGTCCCTCTCGTTTGATTTTCATATAGAGGAGGTGACCAGAGTGGCCTTTTTTCACCTAAGGAACATTACTAAGATTCGACCTATCCTTTAATTTAAGGATGCTGAGATCCTTATTCATGCTTTTGTCACATCACCGCTAGATTATTGTAAAGCCCTTCTGTCAGGTTTGCCAAAGAACAGTTTTCCAGGTCTTCTGATGTTACAGAACGCAGCAGCTCTTGTTCTATGAGCACATTACTCCACTGGCTTCCGGCAGAGGTTAGAGCAGAAAACTTAAATTGCTATTGCCTGCATATAAAGTTGTGAATGGCATTGCACCACAGTACTTGTCAGACCTGGTTAAAGCATACACGCCTGTGACCTGCACTCCCAGGGAACTCATCTTCAGAGTGTCCCCAAGGTCCGCAGAAAGATGGTTGGCCAGTGTTCTTCTTCATCATCACACCCAGCAGTATGAGGACAGCAGTGTCCACATACTTTTGGCCACATAGTGGACGACCCTGAACTCTCTCCTCTCTGTAAAATCTTTGATAATCACCTGGTTTCTGGAGGAGTAAATTAACACACACGCACGCGCACACACACACACACACACACACCGCCCGTGGTGACAGCAGCACAGCCGCCTGGTGAAGACTCGAGCACATACTGATGCTGACACAGCAAGGCAGCGGCAATCTACAGGTCATTATGTGATATATTACACCGGCTCAGATGACTTAGATCCCTGATGAGAGGCAATCCATTATGTCTGACACTTAAACTGCCGCTGTAATCTGCAGGGAGGAGCCGACGAGAGGAGGACGGCGCTCTGCGTTTACCTTAGGGACGAACAGAACCACCAGGGTGATGTAGACAGAGAAGACGATGGCCAGGGAGGCGAAGGCGAAGGAGGCGTCCTGCTGGGAGGACAGGATCATGGTGACTGGAGCTGTTATCATACACAGCACCTGAGGGAGGCAGCGGGAGAGGGAACATTTAGTTTGTTAGTTATTACAGAGGAAGACACTGCGTACCTGTCAGGTCACCAAGGAACAGGAAGTACTGTAGACACCACAGACCAGGACAAGACTTTATTCTTAAGATAAATAATGTTATTGTGAGTGATGAAGATGACGGCCAAACGAAAATAAGACCCAAATTCTAATGAACCATAATTATGCTTTAAAGTCTCTTTGTTGAGTTGTAATTAGAAGTTAAAGCTTTGGACAGAATCCTGTCTGAAAACCAAACACACAAACGACCTCCTCATTCGTATAAAAGCTGAATACTGCTGCCCTCTAGTGGTTCATCTGGAATACTGGAATACTTTTATCCACATTGCAAAAGCCGAACATGTTTTCTGACTTTACTGCGGTGTTGCTCCTCCAACCTAACAGCTACCGACAAAAACAGAGAAATGACACGTACATCGATCTGCATTAAAGATCCAGTGTGTCAGATTTAGCGGCAGCTGGTGGTGAGAACTGCAGATTGCAACCAGTTGAAACTCTTCATTTCATTCATTCATTTTCTGTAACACTTATCCTGTCAGGGGTCACGGGGGGTGGCGGGGTTCACCCTGGACAGGTCACCAGACTATCACAGGACTGACACATAGAGACAGACAACCATTCACACTCACATTCAACAACAACGACATTGCTAACCACTGCACCATCGTGCCGCCCGTCTGCTCCAAGACAAACAGACCAGCTGATTTAAACACACTGAATAAAGCAGCACAAATTAGTGTTTTTCTGACACCGCTCATCGTGGAGAAAGCGAAAATGTGAATGTCTCTATCTAGAGTCAGTGTTTGGTTTGTCCATTCTGGGCCACTGTAGGAACATGGCAGTGCAACATGATGATCTCGGTGGACGAACGACTCATTCTGAAGTAACGAAAACACAACAGTTCTTCAGCAGATTACACACTAAAGGAAACAGACTTATTATTATATATCCCATTAATGCCAATATATCCCCCTGAATCCTACACACTGGAGCTTTAAGAACAGCTTCATAAATGTGGTGTGTGTGGTCGACTTGGTCGTGCAGGTTTCACTCCTGTCGTCCTCAGAAAGTTGAATCCAAATCAGAAAGAGACTGAGACAGAACAGAGGTGGCAGGAAGAGACAGAGACAGAGACAGAGACAGAGACAGAGACTGAGCATGAAATCAAATGAAACATGAGCGAGGTGGAGGTGAGGCTGGAAATCAATACATATTGATCAACAGTCAGTCACCTCTGTGTGAAAAATCCCATCCACACCGGAGAATGGAAGCAGCAGGCTGAGACCAGCAGCAGCCATGTTTTCTCTGCTGTGTCATTACACACACACACACACACACACACACACACACGGCGACGCACAAACACAGTCCTGTCCTCTGTGCTCACACAACTCGTCTCGTTGATTTCGCCCACCTCACTGGAACAAATAGCATTTCTGAACACCGTTATTCATCTGGAGATGGACTGTTTCTACAGTCTGCAGCCTGTCTGTCTGTGTGTCCACCTGTCTGTCTGTGTGTCCACCTGTCTGTCTGTGTGTCCATCCATCCAGCCAGACTCTAATATTTCGTCTCCACCCCAGTCTAATATCTCAGTAACTACAGCTCTTCTGAAAGTCACAAATGACGTGTTTACTGCTTCTGAACATGGAAAACTCACTGGTGTGATGTCTTGATTTCTCTAAAGCCTTTGACATTGTTGATCATTATTAACGTCGTATGAGGACGTGGACAGTCCCTGACCAGACGTCGATCTGTGACGAGGTCGCAGTGAGGATGTGTTGAACCAAACGACAATATGTGACCGCTCCAGTGTGTGACTTCAGACAGCATGCCGGCATCACGGGATCAAAAGAGGCATGACAGCGTCGGTCTCTTGTGTGATGTAAAGCATACGCGTTATAAACCATAACAATGGCAAAACATGTCAATAACAGTCATTTACGGTCCTTGTTATATGGCGGGTATACGGAGGGTAAGGCGCTCCTGAATCATGGACCACTTCCTGTTCCAGAAGGAGCCGGCAGCCACTTTTTATTTCTGAAACATGTCGACGATCCCAAAAATAGATCCTGGAGTTAACCAACATTTGCAGATCGCAGCACCAGGATCAAACTAATTTGTTTCAGAGAGAGAGTGCGTCTGACAGGCCAGTCGTTTAGGAAGAGCAGACCAAAGCAGGAGGACGAGAGAAAACACGGAGATAAACACTTTGTCTCTCTGAACCAATTTGCATTTCACCCACTCAGTTTAGGCTTAAATTGGGTTCAGTGCATAATGGATAATCCTCAGAGATGAATTAAAATACGACAGCAGGAATGAAAATCACAGAATCAGCCGTTCTGGAGATGCTTCTGATTAAAAAGCCACTTTGTGTGTGTGTGTGTGTGTGTGTGTGTGTGTGTGTGTGTGTGTGTGTGTGTGTGTGAGACCGGCTGGAAAGAGAATGGCGTTTCAAACCAGCAGCAGACGCCTCACTTGTCTCCTAAATTGTCATGCAGAGCGGAATACTTTGCGATTTGTCGAGTGAAATGTGGTTGCATTGAAAGAACTTCTTGTTCTTGGATACACATTAAAAAAGCTCAACAATCGACTGCTTCATCTGGCGCCGTGACAGAGCGGACAGGCCCGGCCAATTATAGACACACAGAGCGGTGTGTCTTTGAAGAACACTTGAGGGGAGAGTGTCAGATATATTCACACTGAGCAGCTGAAAATCCTTCAGGAACCTGGTCACAGTCAAAGACAGACTGAACACAAAGGAAAAGAGCTGCTGCACTGACAGTATTATGTGCTGGATACAGCTTATCTCAGATTTATCATTATCATGATAACAGAACATACTTTAATTATTAATCTCTGAAGGGGACATTCAATGCCTTCACTCTGTTGTCACACACACACACACACACACACAC